GGTAGACGTAGTCTCCTCTGCATTGGAGCGCGGAATGTACTGTACGGGAGTCTTTCTCGACGTTGAACAGGCGTTTGATAGAGTTTGGCACCCGGGACTGCTGTACAAACTCCGAAAATTCCTACCACCTACATACTTCCTCATTATCCGTTCCTACCTTACTGATAGATACTTTAAAGTAAATCACAATAACGCCTATTCATCCCATTTTTCCCAGTCTGCTGGTGTTCCTCAAGGTAGTATCCTAGGTCCTGTCCTCTATACAGTTTATACAGCTGACATCCCTACCTGTCCCAACACTGTCATCACCACATATGCCGATGACACATGTATCCTATCAGTAAACAATGACCCAGCAATTGCATCCCAAATGCTTCAATCACACATCATAAATCTAGAAGAATGGTGTCAAAACTGGAGAATTAAAATAAACTCCAATAAATCCCACCAAATTACCTTTACCCTTCGTCGTAAACCAACGACTTCCTGTCCTACAGTTTCCTTTAACAATACTCCACTTATCCCTGTTGAGCAAATCCGATACCTAGGACTCCACCTGGACAAACGACTAACTTGGAATCCTCATACTAGACTGAAACGACAAGAAACCGCTCGACGTTTCCGATTACTTCAGCACTTACTAGACAAACGCTCTAAACTTCCCATTAATTACAAAAGACTCATATACTTGACTATAATAAGACCTATTTGGACTTACGGAGTTGAGCTATGGGGCTCCACTAAACCATCGAATTCCTCTCGCATCCAATCCTTACAATCCAAAATCCTTCGTAAAATCCTCAATGCTCCTTACTTTGTCACTAATAAAATTATCCATAAAGATCTTAATGTTCCTTATGTTTCAGATCTGGCCCAATCCAGATACCTATCCTTCCATAATAAACTTCAGAATCATCCCAACCCTCTCGTTTCTAACCTTGCTTCCTCTTCAATTCCTGATAACCCTCCGAGGCGTCTGAAAAGAAGATGGCCCCGTGATCTCCTAATGTAGTCATATCATTAGAGTGCTACCATTGGGTAGTTACTCAGCAAGTGTATTCATGTCATTATATCAATTATGTCCAAATTTACTTGATGTATTTATGTAATACAGTTGTAAATGTCATAAAGAAATAAAAAAAAAAAAACAAACTCTGGGACGAAGTCCCTTCAGAATAACAACAAAGTACAGAAATTAAAATTTTATATCTGGCCAGATAAAAACAAACATAAAAAGTTAAGATAAAGATAGATCATTAAAAAAAAAAAAAATATTGGTTACACATACTATATAATAAAATAAAAAAATCTATATAAAAAACTCTTCAAACCATACTAAGATACTTAAAACTATGTACAATGTTAAAATATAAATAAACCCTTTTAGAAAAAATAAATGTAAATTCTTCTTACCATTAAAATCTGTGTTTCTGTTTAAAAAAAAAAAAAGAAAAAAAGAAAGTCGAATCTATAATAAGCATTTAGGTTATGAGCGATATGTGAATATGTTATTATAAATAATATGTAATTTTACATAAAAGGTTAGCTGGTATCTGACTGTTTTTGGGACAGGAATTGGAATAGGAGGGTTTTGAATGTAGATAAGGATCAAGAATGTCGAATTTTGATAGGAATTTTGAACAGAACGAGCAATAAAGGAGTTTTGGAACGAGGCAGATCTGTGAGAAGGAATGTAAAGGTCAGAAGGTCGAGATCTTGTGGAGAGGGAGTGGACTGAGGACTTGATTTCGAGAAGGTTGTAGACGTAGGATGGACGATGATTGTTGATTATATGATAGAGGAATGTACCTAGGAAATATTGTCTTCGAATGGAGGGGATGAGCCACTCTAACTCAGTGTAGTAGTGAGAGACTTACTATTGTTTTGGGGGTTATAGACATGGAGAAATAGAGAGTTGAGGCTATTTTGTGAAGTTTAGCTGTATATATGATGTATAATTTATGTCACAGGCGGATCTACGGGGGAGGGGAGGGGGGCTTATCGTTATATGCATATGGAAAAAAAATCTTTCGGGCTGAAGCCCCCCCAAATTAAATTCTGGATCCGCTAGTGATTTATGTAGTTTTATTTTGTGGGTAGAGCTGTGGGTAAAAAATGAAGATACTGTGGATTCTTCGGATATTGATCCGTCGGTATAGATTAAAAATGAAATCCTTATTTAAAATGAATCTGATTTTAGAATCACGTTTTTGTAAATTTTCGGATTTGATTATTGTTAGGGCCGATTATTATGTTCGGGGAGCTCTTTTTATGAAAATACTGTCGGATTTAAGATGCGAAGTTGTCCATCATGTTTTTGTAACTTCTAGTATTTAGTAACCCTCATATCAGTACAGAAACAACAATGATGACCTTTCCTCACAAAATTATAACATCATAAAGTGAAATCACGATTTTAATTTTGAAACGAATGTGGCCAAGAGCAGTCATTTCATTATTGCGCAGACTAGTCAAGCTGCAAACCTAACGATACTGCTTTTTACCATCAAATCATGCAATGATGTAACTCCTCTCCTTTGGCTGGCCATAAGGATTAGCACCAAGTGTTTCCTCAGTGATTAATATACCTTGAGGTTGGGTGTCTATAGGAGCTTCAGGTTCACAAATCATAGTCATGGATAAAGTGCAGATGTTTCTTCTAATATTTCTTTATCTACTTCCAAGAACTTGTTTCGTGAAATTCGATAGAGAAATCGTTGCATTTCAAGCAATCAAAACAACTCAATTTGTTTATTTTTAAAATCCTCCTAGAAGTTCCATTTCGGTGGTATACAACCTGGTAGACCTGTATAGTGTGCCTTTGAACGGCGAAAGCAGCTTTGGGATCAATTAAGATATTTCAGAAATGTTTTCTGGAGCCATCACATACTTTCGGGTTTTTTTCTGTTTTGTTTTTTTTTCGGATTATTTCTATAAATGTTTCGAAGCTACTAATACCATACCCACATGCGACTGCTCTGTCCGACGTTCGCTTCAAACAACCTCCGATTCCATCCACTGCACCCTTGATGAGTAAAACTCTTAGGAGATGAACTAGAGGAAGAAGCAGCTTGGTTTGCCCTGTTCTCCCTTTTTATCAATCTCTCAATAATTCTTTGTTTCTTTTTGTAATCATCCTTCAATTTCTTTATTTACACCTCCAATTTACTCCGATTTTGTCTCTTTCGTTTTCTTGCAGATTTGAGAACGTGCTGCATTCTGTGTGGTGTTGTAGCACCTGCGCTTGATGGTTCCGTTAGGTGGTGAGTTTTCTCTGCATCGCCTTTGGCTTTTTTGTTCCAGTACCACTTTTTATTCGTAGCCCTCCAAATTTTTCGATATTCCTTTAACGTCAGGTCTTTAAGACTTTCCGGATCATTTTTCAATTTTTCTCGCCTAAGCCTATTATATTCTATTTTCTTTCCTGAGTCCGTACACTTCTTCCTTTCAATGAATTTTAGTGAATTTGTTTTTAAAAAAAGTAGCTATTGAGGTAAAATTTGGAAAGTGTAAAAAAATGTTCTGTGACTATTTATATTTACTCTTCATGAAGGGATTCTGTCATAGATTGTACAAATTTTTTCATGCACAAATCAGGAACTCATTGCACATTAACTCGAAAAATATACATATCAAAAGTCTGGTTTTATCTTATTTAAATTACAGTTTATAATATTGTGCTCTATTTCCCTCACAATATCTATTTCCCTCACTTTTAGTGTTGTGAGGGAAATAGGCATGAGGGAATTAGTTTTGAGGTTTATTTTGTGGTTAACCATGCACATGCATTTCAAAACAAAACAAAAACAAATGGAGCTCTGAACTCCTTTAGAAACATGTACTTCAATGAAAATAAAACAAGAACCAAACTTACCTTCTTTGAAAAATCACCATATGAGAGAAATAGAATGATGAATGACGTGATTCAAACACTTGTATTAACACGAACTTTACGAAACAAACAGAGGAAGTTACTTGTAAATATGGTTACTCTCACTTTGGAGGGACGCTACAGTATTGCTAACATAATAATGTAATGAAATGTATCTTGATTGTTCTTTGGCGGTCTTTTGTAAAAAATGTGAGGGAAATAGATTGAACTTATGGGACCGATGCATTAGAGGTCATTGTCATTATTGTAACCAATTATTCTCACTATTTAAAATTCGAAATATTTCAACTTATCAGAGGTAATAGAAAAAAAAGTAAGTTAATAATTGCATAATTAGAGAAATGATTCGCCTTAAACATTACCAACTCGTATTATGAGGGAAATAGATTTTGACGTTTTATATTCAAATTAAACCATGAAAACCAACCAATAACCATGGTAAAACTACTTTAAGTTTAAGATGAAAGCACATTTCACCTACTGGTTAGAGTCGGGTTTCAAGAAATTTCATGTAGAAACCACATTTGCTTTGGGACAGGAATTCGTATGTAATGGGAGAATGACCGATATGTTCCTTAAGACGTTTAAGTGAAAACATGTGAAGTTAATGTGAAAAAGTAGACAGGTATTGTGATCTACCTATGAAGCAATAGATTACTAGCAGAAAAAGAGAAAAAAACACATACATATATACATACCCACATAGAAAGGAGAGTGCAGAAGATAAGTAAAAAATAAAATAAAATACACTTAAAAAAAATACACTCTTATGAATAGAAAAGATAAAAAGTAGCAAAAACAATAAAAAATTATGCCTACTCACACTATACACATTTTATTTTCTAATAAAATATTTTAAAAAATTAATTTATCTATTGAAATCTGTATATATTATATTTCCTTGTAACAATGCTGTATATATATATATATATATATATATATATATATATATATTAGCTGAGGTTAGATTCAAATAAATAGAAGTACTAGATGAGATACACAGTGAGGATTAATATATTTTTTTTTTAAAAAAAGATGTTCTGCTAATTTTCCATACTCCAGACGATGACATCGGAGAAACTTATAATAACCCTAACCTTCGGCGTAGGTTGGGGTGCGACCAAAGGCACAGGGACACAAAACGAACTTCGAGAAGTGGACGTGGAAGTTGTTGATATTAAAGAATGCCAAGCAAGATGGGAAGAGTATAACCTCAAACCGACCTCATATCAGATTTGTGCATACACTGAAGGGAAAGACTCATGCAGCGTAAGTAGTTTTTCAGCCTATTCCATTTATTCATTCCTTTTGGGAGTTGACTTTATTCGAAATTATTCACGAAACAGGAAATAATTTATGTTAAGTAAAAATTATGGTATGAGTAATAGTTGTAAAATTTTTCGCTACTTTAAAAAAAAACGCCTGCCAAGTAAGGTCAGCTTCATCACAGCTTTCATTGGCTGAAATATTAAAATATTACAAGATACATAATTTAATTTTTCGTATGAGAATAAAATCTCTGGGAGAAGCCGATTCGAAAAGTTACCCTTCAACATTCGCGGGTTTGATATCCACGAATTTCGTTGATCAGGTAATATTAAAATGCCAAAGAGTGCCGTATTTGAAGATTCCTTAATTAAAAAAAAAAAAAAAAAAAATGAATACTGGACATGCATTTCACTAGTGTTAATGCAAAAGGTCGAAGAAAAAATTGATTGTTTTGCAAGAGTGCATAATAATTCATTATTTCTTTATGCTTTATTAGTATATCATGGGTGATAAATATTCAGGACGCAGTCTTAGAAAAAAAAAGAAATTGTTTATTTTTGCCAACGTTTCAACCCAAACATGAGGGTCACCTTTTAGGGCTTGGTTCGAGCACTGAAGGCTTTCAAGTACTGTGACCTGAAGATCACCCACATGTTTGGGTTGAAACGTTGGCACAAATAAAAAATATATATATATTTTTTCAAAGACTGCGTCCTGAATATTTATCACACATGTTATGTAGAATAGTCGAATAGCTTCCTTCAATACTTTATTAGTATAATTTTATATTTTATTGTCATCTGTTATTTTCCATAATAGTAGACTACTTGTATCAGTTGCAGACTACAAAATCTTACCTTTAGCACAAATACCTTTAGACCAATACTTTCCTTCCGTCAGACTTTCCTTCGGACAAAACCAAAACGCTTTAAGCTAGAAAATATAAAAATATGAATGAAGTTCACATAACTTCGGTATTCAAGGAGGAAATCGAGACCAAGACGAACTGGTTGAACTTCAATAGAAATACAGACAATCACAAATAAGACTTTTTTTTTTACAAACTCAGAATATAAATTACTTTAAATGTAATGAAAATTACACGAAATCTAAGTAACGGCAGTAAGTGTCATGCCAGTAACGTTTGGAATCGACCAAACAATACAGTATCAATTAATTTTTTTAATAAAATCTAAAATTTTATTACCCTTATTTATTACTTACTGACATAGACGTATAGAGGAAAACACGTTTGCGCATATATAAGAGAAAGCAACGGAGAGAATTCAATAAAATTGACTTCACATTAAATTTTCACAAATACCTACCTTTTATCTAATTTTGAGGCAAATCGAACGAGACATTTGTGAAATATTGGCATATCTACAAAAATGCTTTTGCGCGTGCGTAAGCGGCACTGCTGGCTAGAAGTTGATAAAATTGATATGGGACCATCAAGACTTAGACTGAAAGTTCTACGTGAAACTCCTAACTGAAGTAACTCCTAACTTATGATAAACTTCTTATCAACGATAAAATTTATTGTTTGGAAGAATTACAATCGCAAGATACTTTTAGGAACAAACGAGAAAGGAGTGAAGATGTGGAAAAAGAATTGCTTATAAAAAATAAATATAAAATATCAGAACAAAGACCTAAAGAAAAAAAAATAAAAGATACCAAAACACACCTTCCTGAAGAAGACCTGCAAAGTTGGGTCGAAACGGTGGCTTTTAATAAAATAGTTTTGGCACCATTTAGCCTATTTATGACCGCCCTCGGACCATCTTCTTCCTTTATAATGTAACGGTCAACTATTAAATATTCAATTAAAGCAATTTTATTGGTATTTGTCACACTAAGATGCCAAAAATATTGTATTGTTTGCGGGTTAAAAGGTGGCTATTCTCGCTGTGTCACAGCCAAATGAATCTTTTTTGCTCAGTATATTCTGAAGTGCTAAAAGAACATAGAGGAACTACTTCTTCTAGGAACAGAGGTATTTTTTTAATGGATACCATTTCGCTGTGGTCTCTTTGGCAATGAAATGGCTGATAAGCTCACATAAATCTCGGCGTGCGCAAGTTGATCCACAGCCTGGTGAGGTGAAATTATGTTACTAACCGTGACATTAATAAAAATGGTGATGATAATATTTTTTTAAAATAGCTGCTTTTTGGAACTCTTTGCCCATATCCAGGAGGACGTTAGCCCCTTTGCAGAATTCGCTAGTGCTGGTTAAAACAATATTTTTTTTTTATATATTACGTTAGAAAATTCGTCTATGCGGATTAATTTTTGCTATATTTCTCTGTTATTTAAATACCTGTTTTTGGAACTATTTTTGGATTTTTTTACAGCTTCCAGAGGGGAGGGCGCGCGCCCCCCCGGCTGGATCCGCTAGTGGCTACATTAGAAAACATCTGTCTAGAATATGAGTGGCAGCCTATGCGATTCGAGAGCACATGTGGATGCACCACATTTAAGTGTATAGTCGGACTTGTTGAAAACAGGAGATACCACGTCGTCCAAATCGGAATGGTACTGGGCTGCAAGGTCTCTAATGGCGGAGGCGATTAAAAAAAATAATTAATTTTTTTTTAAAAATTGTTTTCGAAAATTGAATTTTAACTGTACCCAGGTGACGGACATAACCCATACTGCAGCTAGTAAGTTCTAATTGAATTTTCAAAGATTGTGAGAGTTGATACCTAAATTGTCAGATATCGATTTTATAAAATTCAGTTTCCTCCTATCGCTTGGGCATGTCATTTCCGGTGGTAAGATTAAAATTTAAAACAGATTGTCATCTAAATTTTATTTCCAAGCTCTAAGTCCTGGGACATGGAAATGAAGATGATAAGTAATCAATATATTAATGACGATGAAGAAATACTGAACCTACTTGGAAAAAGATTTTAAATATTAATGTGAAAAGATATGCGAGGCCACAACTGGAAATATAGCTTATTCTGAACCAATAAAAAGTTACTTTACTTATAATATATATTTGTTAATTAATATACACTTGTAGGGCCGAACGAAAAATTCGCACAGCATATTGTTTTCAAATGCCAAATCATTAAAAAAAAATAATAATGCAACGTATCAAAAGATAAAAAAAATCAATCGTTACTTTATCGATAAATATAAAGGACAAAGAAAACAAAATTATTTTAAATGTTCATTAATGTTTAGACTTCATTGACAACTTCAACTCGATACGTATCTACTACATAACATACCTGAAATAATAGACAGAAACTGAACAGACTTCATTACCACATCTAGTTAAATCAATCATATCTAGTTTAAATAAACTTTTATATTACAATGGCTACAATAGAAGAAAAATTCGATATATTAATAGAAAAAATTACAGGATTGGAAACTAAACTAGACGAAAATAACAGATATCATGAGAAAGTAATAAATGAAATGAAATCACAGATAAATGAACTGTCTAGTAATATGGAAAATTATAGGAAAAGAGAAGAAAATAATACCAGAAGAAAAAATATAATAATATTTGGATTAGAAGAAGAAAAACCAACAGAAATGAACAAGACGGTTCTAACAGTACTACAGTTCATCACATCAGACCTCAGAACATATGACGTTATAGATGTAAGAAAAATTAACTTTAAAAATAAAAATGGTCCTATATTGGTAAAATTAAATTCTATATTTTTAAAAAGAGTCATAATGAGAAACAAATATAAGCTTATGAAATCTGAAGAATTTAAACAGATAAAGATTAAGGATGACATGCCGAAAGAAGTCAGAAGCATTAGAAAAGAATTGTATCCTTTTATGAAAGCACAGTGGGAGAAAGGAAATAAGGCGTCCTTAAGGTATGATAAACTTCTTATTAACGATAAAATTTATTGTTTGGAAGAATTACAATCGCAAGATACTTTTAGGAACAAACGAGAAAGGAGTGAAGATGTGGAAAAAGAATTGCTTATAAAAAATAAATATAAAATATCAGAACAAAGACCTAAAGAAAAAAAAAATAAAAGATACCAAAACTCACTACCGTTCTGTAAGTCTAGATAGATATTTGGTGCCACATGAAGAAGGAATAGTGGAAACAAGAAAAAAAGAAACACCAAGTACTGGCACATAGCAAATTGAGAACCCAATTTTTCATGGCAACAACAAAGGCATCCTAAAGGTATGTACACTAAATGTCAGGACATTGTTAGGTGAAGACAGGTTGGAGGAGCTCATACATAGTCTCGACGGCATTAAATGGGATATCATTGGCTAGCAGAAGTAAGGCGAAAATATTGTTTGGTTATAGAACAAAAATCAGGTCATATTCATTATGACTACGTCTTATTAATTATGCATACGTCATCTAAAAATGGGATGTATGGTATTGGTTTTATTGCTTCGAAGCATTTAAAAGATAGAATAATAGATTTTAAAGAGATAAATTATAGAATAGCTGTGCTAGTTTTTAAGATTACTCCCAGTAAAAAATTAACAATTATACAGTTACACGTCCCTACAATGGATGACCCTAATGAAACTAAAGACCAATTTTATCAAGAATTGGAAATATTACTTTCCAGTTTCAAAAGAAAAAATAATTGGATTGTGGTTATGGGAGATTTTAACGGCCGCATCGGGGTCAAATTAGATGGTGAGGAAAAAATTATGGGAAACTGGGGTTACGGAAAAAGGAATGAAGGGGGCGACAGGATAATAAATTTTTCTTATAGTCAACAACTTCAAATTGGAAATTCGTTTTTCAAGAAAACATTTAAGGATAAATGGACCTGGTGTTCACCAAAAGGCCAAAAATTTGAGCTTGACTATTTTCTAACAAATCAAATTAGCATGATTAAAAATGTTGAGGTCATCAAAGCTAAGGCTAAGAGCAGAGTTATATATTGAAAAATATAAGAGAAGAAGATCATTTAAAGTAAAAAATAAAACTCTTTTTCTTCAGGACCAAATTGAAAAATTCCAAAATGATCTCTCAACATATCTCCAGTCTAGTCATGAAAACAGTGAATCTCCCCGTACTGTTCAAGAAAAATATGATCTCATTTCAAAACTCATAGATGATAGTAGCAGATTAGGTACCGGTGTTGTTAAAAAGAGTTCAAACACGTTATCAGAAACAACTAAGGAACTTTTAAGTGTTCGGAGCCGGATAAAAGAAAGAGGAGAACTTTCAGAAAATGAAAAGAAAGAGCTGACAAATTTAAATAGCCTCATAAGGAAAATGATAAAAGAAGACATTGAAAAATTTAATAAAAATACTGTAACCAAAATCCTTTTAAATAATAGGTCTACAAGAAAAATTCAAAAAGAGCTTGCAGAAGGAAAACCTTGGATGGATGCAATAGAAAATCAGAGAAAGGAAATCACAACCAACCGAGAACATATTAATAAAGTGGCTACAGAATACTTCAGGAAACTGTATGATTGTAATGAAACATCCTTTGAATCATGCGAGGAAGGAAAGAAGACTAAAAATTAGGAGGAAGTTCCACCGATAATGGAAGATGAAGTTACTGTTGCCATTAAAAGGCTTAAATCTGAAAAAAGTCCGGGACCGGATAACATAACAAATGAAATTTTAAAAGCAGGAGGGAAAGCTCTAATTAAAGAACTGTCAGAATTATTTAACTTAATTCTCCAGGAGGGAAAAATTCCAAATCAATGGAGAATCGCAAAGATAATCTTACTCCATAAAAAAGGCAATATGCATGACATAGAGAATTACAGACCCATCTCCCTTTGTTCCACCATGGCAAAACTTTTTACCACCATAATTAAACAGCGACTCACAAAAAGAATTATGGAGTGTATAGCAGATGAACAGGCAGGATTTAGAAAAGGATTCTCAACAATAGATCACATCCAGACGGTAAATCAGATGATCGAGAAAGCCAAAGAATATAATTTCTCTCTCTACCTCTGTTTTCTTGATTTCAAGAAGGCTTTTGACACCATTTCACATGCAAGTATAATTAAAGCACTTAGAGCAATAGGTACAAAAGAGAGATATATAAAGATTCTAACAGAACTTTATGTCAGCATACATTATGACAGAAAAGAAAGGTCAAAGCTTCAGGATTAGGAAAGGGGTTCGTCAGGGAGACCCATTATCACATATGTTGTTTATCTTGGTGTTGGAGCTGGTGTTTTGGAATCTTGAATGGGGGAATGTTGGTATAAGGGTGAATGGTAAATGGTTGAGCAATTTACGTTTTGCCGATGACATCGTGCTCTTTGCCAAAAACAGTCGACAATTGAAGGAAATGATTATACAATTTTTAAGGTTGTGCGAACAAGTCGGTTTATATCCAAACTATAACAAAACCAAAAGAATGTCAAATAGGGAGCCAAAAGAAATAAAAATAAATAAAGACACCTTAGAATATGTAGACGAATATGTGTATCTAGGCCAGCTGGTGTCCTTCTCGGATAGAGCAACAAAAGAAGTACAGAGAAGAATCACAATGGGATGGAACAAGTTTTGGTCACTGAGGCACATAATGAAAGGAGATTTAGATGTGGATCTTAAAAGACAGACCTTCGATAGCTGTATCCTCCCAGTAGTGACATATGGTTCTCAAACTTGGTCGTTAACTAAGGCCCACGAGAGAAAAATCCAAGTGTGGCAGAACAGTATTGAGAGGAGTATTATGAAGGTAAAGAAAAGAGACAAAATATGATGCACTAAACTAAGGAAAGAAATAGGTCTCAAAGATACAATTTTACAGTTGAGAACAATTAAATGGAAATGAGCTGGTCATTTCTTACGTAACAACGATGTTAGGTGGTCGAAAATAACAACCGAGTGGACGCCATACGATCTTAAAAGGAAGAGAGGCCGACCAGTGAAGAGATGGTGCGATGTATTCAGGTATTCAGACGATGGGACCCCTCTGGTGGAGAGACGCTAAAGACAGGGTTATATGGAAAAAGAAGTGGACAGAGCTGACGGACCCCGCTTCTCAACAGGGCTGACAGTGAGAGCAACCAGAGAAGTGCTGACTACTACTCCCTCACGGGAAGGCCTGTGCAGGAAGAAAGACATAGAAGAAGAAGTGTATAATAGTGTATGTGTGTGTGCGTATCAATGTAGATATGCATGCTATTTTATATTAGTAGTTATAAAAATAAAAACCATTAGTACATATGTAACTACTTATTTTGCATAATAAAGGCTATTTCATTTCATTTCATTAATGTTTGGAACCAACATGTTTACAAATTTCAATAAGCTGTATCTTTGCTAAAAATTGTCTGATTTCGATGATAAAGTGTGTTTTCTTTCATAACTTATTCGCCTGAATTTTCGGGTTGACTGGACTATTTTACCAGCCTGAAGGAGAAGGAAGCCTTCGAAATTGGTGGCTCAATCTTGAGATTTGGTGAAGAATTAACGATGCTTGCCGATCAAAAACACCATCGATAAATAATATAAACTCCTCTCTCGATCATAGAGGCCTCAAGTCGACGAAATGAGACATGTATTCAACGACAGTACCACAATTAATGCAAGGTTGTGTGGATGCGAACCCTATGCCTTGCGTTATCTCGAAAATAGTACGTTTTTGGGTTTAAACACACAGTTCCGGAGGAACTATCCGGGTCTTGCTGTACGCATCAAAATCTTCAAGGTCCAATTTGTCCCGTATCGATCTACAGACCTACCACCGTTCCTGTATTGAAGCCTAGCAAAATGTTTGTATAGTCTTCATTTATCTTAGAAAGAAAAACAAAAGTGGAGAATACGATTCACTAACCCCCCGTGAAATTCTGAATCCAACGGAACCCCATTCATGGTATTTGAGCCTGACAGGAGCTTATATTTGGTACAAAACCGATTTCGAGCCTTACTGTAATAATATATGTGTGGATGGATCTGGATTGTTAAACAAATATTACTATACATACATTGTTAGTTGGAATTCTGGAGGTTCTATGTTTATGAGAGGTGGCAAGCTGGGGCAAAATAATGATTAAAAAAAATTCTCAAAATTGTGTTTAAGATATTTAAGCTACCACTTTGGTCTTTAAATCAGTTGGCTTGAACATTTATGAACGGCAATTATTTGTTACTTTAGGGTGACTCTGGCGGTAGTTTGGTGTACGAAGATCCTGACACCAAAAGATTTGTCCAGGTGGCTTTGGTGTCCTTCGGGCCTCGGGGTTGTGGATCCGATCCCCAACCTTCAGTCAACACTAATGTGTACGCTTACATCTATTGGATCGAGAGTGCTGTTAAACGTACGTATTCCTTTTATATTAGGGTGGCTTTTATTTTTGATGTTTTATTTTCTAATGGCAGCCAGAGATGGGAAAACGCTACTCTGGGTACTGAGTATCAAGTATTTTAATCAAATACCGACCTTTTTAGAGTCTCAACGAATTTGATTACTACTTCAGTTGATGTAAAAGGATTAACTAAAGTAGTGATTGAATTCCCAATAGTGATTCAGCTTGAGTAAAATACTTGGTACTCAAAGTAGTAGTCCGTAGTACAGAGCCCTTTTTATCAGATTATTAACATCGGCCTGAAACACCATAAGTAGTTTCATCTCATCGTAACCTACAACTATTATACTTACGAACACTCTTGGAATTGGGGTGTTTTTAATCTGGAGGGGGGGGGCAGCTTTGACTATTTAATTAGGAACTCGTAAATACCCATTTGATTTCTACTTGGATCGTAAGATAATTTGATCACAAAATTGAGAAAAAATGTGGGCTACAAAAATATTGGGCCGTTTGTCCTATATAATCTCGGTATTTTGAAAATTTGGGAGTATAGGTCACGCCAAACGGCAATTATGGCCCCCTCCAGATTGAAAACGCCCCAATTCCAAGAGTTTTCGTAAATGAAATAGTTGTAGGTTACAATGTGATGAAACTATTTAAGAGGTTTCAGCCGGATGTTAATAATTCAATAAAATGGGGTCTGTACCACGGACTTTTACCTTCCTAGTGACCACAAAAATTAATAAAAGGCGATTCCAATTATTGGACTAAACATTTTGTTTTAATCATTAGTCATTTGCTAAAAAAAATAGCATTACATTCAAAAATCAAAAACCAAAACAAAGGATATAACGTTTGCTGTAGAACATATAAACAACATCTAGAGACCATTTCTTTGTTGCTCCTAATTGTCCGTTTTTTTTTGTTTTTTTTAGGAAATTCCATAAAATTTAAAAAAAGATCATTATAATATCAATAGAAAAGTGCTTACTTTTTGAGTCATTTGGAATCTAATTTTACCATCCTTCGTAATTTTTTTCCAGCTTCTTCAATTCGTTGAATGAAATTTCGTTGAATTATGTTATATAGATAAATTTAAAGGGCATCGAGAAGAAGACTTTCAAGCCAAGTTGAAATCAGTACATTCGTTTAGGTGCTACAGTCAACTTGCGTTGCTTTAGCACCTAGTTGACCACTAGTGCCTAGCACCTAGTAGACCAGTAGAGTCAACTAGGTGCTACAGCAACGCAAGTTTTTCGTTCGTCATATTGAATGAAAAATGTCAATGAAGGAGGATCATCCTCGGATGATCTCTAATTTTAAATCCAAATTTCAAAAAAATTGGTCCAGCAGTTTCAGAGAAAATGCGCGGACGGCGGATGGACAAACTTTTTTTTTTATAAGTTTTTCAAATTCTACGTAAAACCTCAAATTTTGAGAGGGGGTTAAGTTTTTGAATTTTTTGTTCGATTACAATGGTTCAATATTGAAAATAATGAACCAAAAATGACTATATTATGACGCCATGTTATGCGGCTTTAGTCGAAATGTACTTTTTTTTTTTTAATGGATTTCTTTTTCTTTCAGTTACTTGAAGATAGTGGTACTGGGGGGAGGGGTGGGGGAAACTAGTCCGGCAAGTGGGCCTAGAGTGGTCCTTTTTGCCAACCCCTCACGGCTACCTTTAAGATTGCCGCCGGGTACTTGCCAGAGTTGGAATGTCACGATCCATTTCCCGGGGCCTCCGAGAAATGAAAAGTAACCAACCCAGGTGGGAATGGAACCCACAACATTCAAAACCGGGCACTCTGGGACCCTCGCCCCAACGTGCTGGACTATCCCGTCCTCTTGATTGAGACATAATATTTTATATTAAATAAAACTGAGGACTTCCATTAAAATGTTAAAACTTATTAAAAGTATAATGATACGCTTATGTCTATCAGTTAAAATGATGTATAGTTAATTATAATTTTACTTTAGGTGACAATTTAATGTAATTTATTCTTATTTTTAAATTTGATGAATTAGATTAATATAAAATTTTGTTCAACTGAAAAATAAACAAATCTGTACAGCAATTGAAACAAATTTAGTTTTAATGTATAGTACTCAAAGAGAAAAGAAACTTTGTTCTACGTTTTTGGGCATGTTGGCAAAAGATTCGCATTTTTTAGATCTTTGCGAGTAGATTCCGGAAATTATGGACATGCATTATTGTCTTGACTCCTGCCACTCATAAAAACGTTCCGAAAGCCAAAATATATTTTTTTAAAAAATCGATCTTGCTCACAGTTGGATTTTGCACCATTCAGTTTAAAGACCGTTGAAAATTGTTTATTTAAATAATCATTTAACATAAAAATGTTTAATTTAGTTATTTTATAACGATCCGCTAAAAAAACGTTTACATTTACTATATTTGGTTTACTCGACCGAAGTAAAATATCAACTAAAAGTATTTCACAATATTTCGCATATTTTGATTTTTTCCGATGACTAGCATAGCCATAATACAACTAATTCATCCACTTAATAGTTGTAATCATGTTCACCACTGCGCCACAGGTATTCTGAAATGTAAACAAATATTAATACCACGAGAACGGTGATGGATGGTGGCATCTATCATTCGTTTATTATTGATGTAGTCATTTCGATGAGGATTTCGAACAATTTTCAAAGAGTCATAAGGAATCGCAAAAGTTGCAGTGAAGCAGATGTACAGAATTACCCTGAAACTTCCAAAATCATCTAAAATGAAATTGTTCCCGAAGAACAAAATAAATGTTCGTATGCTCAATCGATACGTATTTTCACCTTCTAAAAAATGGAAAATGGAAATAGTTAAGTAGAAAAAAACTAAGGTGTGGTCATTAGACATTAGGCGAGACCAATAATATGTGTTAAGGCCACTCATTAATATTCATAATTTAATGCGTCAAATAGCGCACAGCAATAGCGCACCTGTTGGCCATCAGAACAACGCCATCTATTGGTGAAGAAGAACTAGCCCCGCCTGGTGACCTGGGACCGGAAGGGCCAAAGTACAAGACCTGTGCCAGTCTGATCTGAGACTGCCTACAAAATGGTCTAGATGACCACGCACGTTAAATGTCTAGCTAGACCAGGGTAAAGAAGTGGCCGGAAGAGGCAGCATGGGTGCAAGCTATACAGATAGCTATATTAAGAGAAGCCAGCAGGCCAGAACACACCATTTAACTCAGATGACACGATAGCCATTCCCTCGATGGAAGCATTCAACCAGCCAGAATCTATATTTACCCGGTCAGCCCATATTAATCAATAGTTACTAACTCAATAATCCAAATGTATATCTTTGTACCATCCATCAACTTCTGTTTATTTCAATCTATTTTTTTTATCAATATATGTTTTAAGTTCACCTCATTTTCTCATTTCACATTCCGCATAATCACTCCCTTCTGATAAATTATTTAGCATCCAGGTTTGATTCCCTCTACTTCGGGATTAGAGAAAGCCTGATGCCCCAAACAATATGAAGGTGACAGTGTTTCGTGAGTAAGAGAATATAGGTTTCGGAAGGATATTGTTCTAGGAGAAAAGGATATGACAAGGACATTGTAAGAGATTCGGATAAGGAAGTGGGAAGATAAAAACGGGACCGGGTTCTGAGATGCGGCAAGGAGTTTGTCTGAGGAATCTAGGAAAATCAGATCGAGCCAGGACTCTGAGTACTGAGTATGATGGATTGGATTGTAGGGTACTATGTAAAAGCTAAGAGAATGAAAGAGGTTTGTTAGGTAAGAATAATCGTAGGATGGCTTCAGTAAATTGGTGTTAAAGTCTCCGGAGAGGATGATATTTGAGTAGGAAGGGATTAAGTTGTACAGAGAAGTCTCAAGTGATTCATCAAAAGGAATTCTAGGAGGGCGATATATGACAGCAAACAGAATGGCAGATGAGGTTGTGAGGATTTCGGTGAAAAGGTATTCAACGTACGGATAATCGGTTATGGAAGAGCATTGAAGCATTTTGGATTTAAGACTGTCATGGACAAAGAGACCTACTCCACCACCAGTGCGATCTACTCTGTCATGACGAAGTAGAGTATAGTTAGGTAGAAGGATCTGGGAAGACGGGATTGTGGGTTTCAACCAGGTTTCGGATACGGCAGTTAAATGGTAGAAGTTATGGAGAAAAAAAGTCGTAAAATTCATCAAAATGGGCTAGGAGTGACTGAGCGTTGACATGGCAGGTTAAAAGGATATTAGTCATGGAAGAAGGAGGGTTGGCTTGGTAAACGGACAGGAGTTAAGGATAGGAATATTTCTACAGTAGCAGGAGCCAATATGAGCCCAGATACCATAACTATTGATAATATCTCTATTGAGAGGAACAATAAGTATGTAAGATTTCCCAGGTATTAATCTTTCTTTATATTTGTTTATTTAGAAATATTACATTCTGTCACATCAAGGACATTTATAATAGTGTTCAGAGAGCATACTCACACTCTATTTACAATAATAAATAATACAATAATAATAATAATAAAAATAAATAATACAGAAACTTAATAATAATAAATAAAATAAAATAAATGTATATAAACAAAAGAAGTAACCTAATCATACACACTCGGGCTTGAGTGGAGGATCTGGCCATTGCCGAAACTCCAATAGATGCTTATTCACAGAAGGTTTCTGGGCCACTGCCGCTTCAACCTTCAAGGAGGATTGTAAGGATGGGTGGTGCTGGATAGAGATTGTGCAAGGGGATTTGGATGATAGGTAAGGTTCTGGTGAAATTTAGAGAATTTTTCTGGAATAAGGTCTAGGACAAATGGGATATTAAGGTCATGGTGTAGGATTTTGTTAGTTACATAGAACGGAGCATCAACTATTGTTCGAAGGACTTTAGATTGAAAGGATTGAATACGTTTGATGTTATAAACCTTTGCTGTCCCCCACAGTTCAAGTCCGTATGTCCATATAGGTTTCAGTATTGTCTTGTAGATAAGTAATTTGTTTTCAATAGAAAGTTTGGATTTGCTGTTTAGTAGTCTGTATAGCTGGCCGTATCGCCGGTTGAGTTCTTGTCTTTTGAATCTAGTATGTGGGTTCCACATTAGTCTTCGGTCTAAATGAAAGCCAAGATACCGGATTGTGTCTGAGTAAGGAAGCTGGATGGAATTAAAGTGTACTGGTGGACAGGAACTGCGTCGGAGTGTAAAGGTAATATGTTGGCATTTAGATTCATTAACTTTAATGCGCCAGTTATTACACCAGTGCTCAATCAAGGTGAGGTGGCTTTGGAGATTTAAGGATGCTATTTCGGGATCAGAGTTGGATGATAAGATTGCGGTGTCGTCAGCGAATGTTGCAAGAAAAGTATCGGGATGAACAGGGATGTCAGCAGTAAAGAGGATGTAAAGCACGGGACCCAAGACGCTGCCTTGGGGAACACCGGCTTTAACGGAGTAGATCTTGGAAAATTCTGTTCTACTGCGTACTCGAAAGCAGCGGTCAGAGAGGTAGGATCGGAGGACTAGGTACAAGGACTGAGGTAAATGGATTTTAAGCTTGAAGAGCAGTCCGGAGTGCCATACCCGGTCAAATGCCCAAGTATTAATAATGAAGGAAAACGAAAAATATAAAATTTAGTTAACGAAAAGTATGTTCCAACTGTGTAAAGAAAAAAAAAATACATAAATTAGAATTTCTAAACAGAGCAAACCTAAAATGTTCTCATAAACAAAAATAAAGTTATTATCAATGTATATTAATAAAACAAACGCAACAAAAACAAAAAAGGAAGATATAAAGATGAAGATATAATGAAGATATAAAAAAGGAAAAACAAAATTGCACAAAGTAATGTAACATGCGTGTGCATGTCAAGCAAACATGTCTGATGGTGAGTTGATGACGACAACCTGCTGGCCATCGTCTCGCCGACATTTCACCTTGCCTGCACTAAACCAAATGTATCCGATTTTCCCTTCAGACCTCTTTTGCCGGGCCAACCAGTACAAGTATCTGTTGGTTACGAACATAGTTTCGCTTAGGTAAATCTTGTGGGCGTCATTTTCTCCCCATCCGAGGTGGCGTGTTGAAAAGTCCCTCATAACTTTTCGCCTCTGGACCAACTCGTCCCTAAGCGACTGCCGGACGAACCTTACCACAAGCGGCCCGGGCGTATCGTCTTGCCTGGATCTCATCCGTTCTGCATAGTCTATATCCTCTACCTTTAAACTGAGGCCCAGGCCCGCCTCTACGCTCATCACCAAGCCCATCGGAGTATCCCCAGATCTCACTGGGACTCCTCTTATTTCTATTGACCTGGAAAGGTGCAATTGCCCACTTTTATTGAGCCTGATTTCGAGCTTTGAAACCCGAGAGTTGAGAGTCGTGTTTTCCAGGACCAGTCCGTCGATCTTAGAATTTTGAACCTCTAGTAGTGACTCTATAATGTCCAATTTCGCCGAATTCTCAAAAGTTATAGAAGCTTGCTTTTCGAGGGATATGTCTAATTCCTTCACCTCGATAGCATTGGCATCGAGGGAAAATGTTAATACCATGACCTCTTCTGTAAGATCTTTAATGGCAGTAAGTAACAGTTGTGAGGTGGCGATAGTTTGTTGTTGTGGAACCGATCTTGGGGGGCTAAAGCCTGTCGGTTGGATATTTTTCCGAGCCTTTTCACTTCTTGGACATACCCAATTTTTTCGATGCCCTCAGTGCTTCAAAATCACTCTCATCTGTGTTTAAGCATTTTCCATAAAAAATGGCTTGATACGTTGTGATAGTGCATGCTATTGCTTTTTTTTCTTCTCTAACTATGGTCTGTCGGCAAATTGGGCATAGAACCATCTTGATAGGTATGAGAAAAAAAGAAAGTGACGTGGTACAAAATTGACGCAGCCCTGACCTCGTCACTGGAGACACTGAGATGTCTAGTGGTTAGTCTTATCCATGCGCATGCGCTCTCCACTTCTATTCATATCTAAAATGTCTACGATAGATACCTTAAGCCGCCTAAAACAGAGATTGTTACCTTTCTTCTTCTGACGTAAGACGCCGGTCTAGTGAAGAATCTATCCTGTCCCTAGATATAACACGATTAATAGTTGGTTCAAACCAAAAATTATGACAAAAATAGTTTGGGTAGTTGAGAAGAAACAAGGAGAGCAGGAAGGTGAACCAAAGAAATATCGAGCAGTAGTGTACTACCGGAAGCTGAACGAAGGGATAAAAGACGAAACACGTTCATTATCTAAGGAAAGTTTTCAACTTCAAATTTGAGTACCCGAATTCGGACTCAAATGATCCCAAGAAAAATTTAAATTAGGGCTAAAGCAAATTAATTTTTTGGGACAGGGTAGTTTCCCCCAGCGGGGCCCGACCGGATCAGGAACGTGTAAATTGTATTCGAGAGGCACCATTACCCAAGAATGCTGGCCGAGTTCGACGTTTTGTAGGAATGGTTAACTATTACCAGAAATTAATTCCATGAATTGCCGAAATAATTCACCTGTTAACAGAAATATTAAAGAAAGGAAAGAGGTTTCAATTGGGGCCAGAGTAATTATCGAGTATTCGGAAATGTCGTGAGATTCATACCACTCGTTCGCTGTTAGCTTTTCTTGATTTCCGCAGGCCATTTAAAGTCACCACAGACGCGCGCGAAATTGCTATTGGGGCAGTATTGTCACAGAATTAAGAAATAGGAGAAAAACCTATATCATATGGAACCCGAAAGTTAAGTGACGCCGAACGTCGGTACAGCGCTATCGAACGCGAATTATTAGCAGTAGTTTGGCCAGTAGAATACTTTCGTCCCTACATATAAGGTAGACGGTTCGAGCAAGTCACTGATCACAAACACCTACTGTCGTTAAGCACTCTTAGAGAGTCATCTCCGCGGGTTTCACGTTGGAAAGAACGCCTCGCGGCGTACAATTTCCGTTCAACAATTCCAAAAAGGAATTGACAATGTGGTCGCCGACTGGTTGTCGCGGGAGTTGGTAGCAAATGCGATTGACGAAGAGGACACACTACACGACCAGACATGGAGGAAATCCTAAGAACACCAATAGAAAGACAAGTGATAGCCGAAGCTAACGAGGTTATCAATGATAAAAAAAAATTCAAATCATCATAAAATCGAAGCAGAGTCCGGGGCTGGAAACACACGCGAGCATGTACGATGGATTATCAACGATTTTAGTCCACACACCTGCATCTATAGACGACAACGAGTTAGAGTGGATTTTCGCAGAATTTAGTCAACTGGGCCGTACATGTTATGTTTATGTGAGAAATCGTGCAATTTTGGAAAAAATGAAAAGATTATGGAGACAAGAGAGAATAGGAATGGGTTATTCCCTAGTTAGGTGCTTACGTCAAGTAGAAACAGTCTCCGAACCGGCGGTACAACAGAAAATTGCCAATGATAACCACACTGGCAAAATGAACCACCGGAGATTGGAGAAGACCCTGCGGGCGCTGAAATTATTATATTCCTAGAAAAATATGGGCCGAACGGTACGCGCAAAGTGTTAAGTGTATCGCAAAGTGTGAAGTCTGTCAGCGGGCGAAATATGATCGACAAACCCCGGTAGCTGAACAAGTAGCCTCGCCCACCGCACCAGAACCACTACGCTTGATACAAGTAGGCATTTATTCTAACGAGGGTCAATCATGGCTAACAATGTTAGACACGTTTAGTAAAAATGGAAAGAGATTTTGCAATGGTGTGCAATTTATTGTGTCAGACTGTGACCGAGAATTCAACAATGCCTTTATTCGAAAGGAATGTAAAACGTTAGACATCACTTGGCGACTAAACACCTCCCATCACATCAATGCTAGTAGAGGTGCGGTGAAAAGATTACACAACACCTTAAGTGAAAATCTTATATTACTAGGGTGGAATTTGGATCCATTTGACGCTACGCCGCGAGCAGTGATCGCCTACAACAATACAATACAATGCAGCGACGGGTCTATCTCCAGTAGAAATCGTTTTTGGTCAAAGGCGACGCGATAGAGGAGATCTCATCACAACCAATAATAATAACTTATGGGAGGCATTATATCAAGCTAGAGTGGAACGACAGAAGTCTTTGAAAAACTAATTCGTGAAAAACAGACTCGCGTGAACCGCGCGAATAATCTCTCTGTGGTTTACAGCCAGGGCCCATTAACAACAGATGGCTGAGAACAGCGAGAAATAAAACTGGCGCACGCTACGAGGGCCCCTATAAAATTATAACCATTAGGGAGAATAATTTTTTACAATTCGGGATGTAAAATATCCGTTCAGATCGCGTACCTCGAAGAACTTCGTGTACCTCGGGTAGCGTTAGGCATCGAGTCTGACAGCGGCTCTCAACAGGAAACTCCACGTCGTTAAAAAGCAGTAATTAGGTTTAATGTGTTCTGTACAATTTAGGTAACTATTTTTTATTTTTTTGTATTTCTTTTGAAATGTTTTAGTATGAAATGTTTTTATATATAAACAATTATGTTATTTTTCAAGTTTCAGATAAATGCAAGAATTTTTTGTTATTCGTTTAAATTTAAAATATAGACCAGTTTTTTTTTTTTTTTTTTTTTTTAAGTATTAGAGTTCCTCCTTACGAAGGAACTGGAGGAGGGAAGTTAGCATAAGATATGTTTGCGTGTTTTAAGATATATTGACATGTGATCGATTATTATATTGAATATTTTGATAAGCTTAACATTTAATAAAGTGATAAAATCTCATTGTTAATATTGATTTATTGATTTAATCTTTCTTAAATTACTAATCATAACTTACGTATAAGAGCCGGCAGTACGTTTATAAATGAAGTTTATTTGTTTTAGGAAGCGAGTCTAGAGCACATCTTTGTAAAAAAGAATCTCCATCCCAAGCGACAAAAATTCAAGAACAAAAAGAAATACCTATTGAGAAAAGTCCAACAACCAAAAGGCCAACAACCAAAAGTCCAAGAACCAAAAGGCCAACAACCAGAATGCCAATGAAATATATACCTGAAAGTCACATACAAAGTCCAGATTTTTCAGAATATCCAATAATACAAGCTATTTACGATATTGTAAATAGTTTAACACCATTAGGTTAGGTTAGGATAAACTTCAACAGAATTAGGTTAGGATAAACTTCTTTTAAAATGTTCTAAACTTTTTATAAATATATTACAAGAAGATTTTACTATAACTGCTGTGTCCATTCATACAACCTTCCTTGCCACTTTAGGTGCTAACACGTTTTTCCCAAATACTTTCGCTAATATTGGTCGGACTAAAGTTTTTTTTTTTAAATTACTTTTGTTAACGATATGATTATTTTTCGTATTCAATTTATTTTTCTGATAAATTTATATTCATTGGGGTAACAAGTTACGAAGTGGCGAGGAGCTGTGCCACTTGGGCGCTCTTTTCTCCAAAACAACAGCTTTTCTAAATCGGTGCATCTCAATCTTCAATATATATCAAATTTCGATCAATGCTACAAATAATAATTTTGCAGTGCTGTGTGACCAAAAAATATTTTGTGAAAAATAATAAGTGCTCTATTTATAATTAAGCATGATTTATTTACATCCCTACCGTACCTGAAAGGCAATACGAGAAAAGCAATATTATAGTTCTCGTGAACTGGGCACATTGCTTGATCATATTTATCTAGTTGTGGCCACGGTCTTCACCTGTTTCTCCTCTTTCTGGCGGCCTTCCAGGTGTTGCACATCCTCTTCCAAAAGGGAAATGAGTTGGGCCTATAATTGATTTCCATCTTGATAAAAAATGTTTTAAGCGCGGATAGTTTTCAGTAGCTGTCCACTAACAGTAGTGTTATATATTCAGTATGGTATATTTTCATTACTGAAATGGATGGAACGAAAAATCCTTAGGAAAAATTCAACCTTTTATTTGTTCGCAGTCAAGGGACCAATACTTTTCTTCGGTCAGAAAATATCTATTCGTAAATCCCAAACCACCTCGCGCGGGCTCATTACCGGGTATGGGGAGCGTCCCACGGGTGGCGGATGTGGGGATGGTCGGTGGAAATTCCTTGGAAGTTCCTCCCGGCTAAGTCCGATGGACTCGCTGACCAACAATGAGAGGGGCCCTCCAGACTTGCTGGAGGGAGGGGACCTCCAGACTTGCTGGAGGTAGGGGCCCACCAGACTTGCTGGAGGGTGTGACGTAGGATTGAACGCCCTACTCACATATCTTTAGTTCACCAAACACCACAAAAAGTCATGGATCTCCCTAAGGTAAAACGCTCATTATCCGGAGGTAAACTAGTCCCCCGTTCGGGTCTCCGGGTGGGGACTGCTTTAGGGGATTCATGCCGCAAGTTGAAATATAGGGATTTAAATATTGGTACGTGGAACGTAAGGAGTTTAAACACAGCAGGGGGGCTAAAATCGGTCGCGAATGAGGTAAATGGGTACAATTTGGATGTCGTGGCTCTGCAAGAGGTTCGCTGGCCAGGGGAGGGCTCGATGAGGGAAGGAAAGTACACTATTTGGTACGGAGGAAGCGGGAATCATTGTTTAGGTACCGGGTTTCTAATTAGGAGTAGATTACTATCCGCTTTGAGGGACGTACAATTCTTTAGTGATAGAATTTCGGTAGCTACATTTCAGGGACGTTGGTTTAAAATCGCATTAATAAACATACATTGTCCGACCGAAGACAGTGACGATGAAGTCAAAAGTGAATTTTACGATAAACTCGAATGGGTTTATGATAAACTACCGCGAAACTACATGAAAATAATTGTAGGTGACGCGAACGCAAAGGTAGTTATATTCAGACGATTGGTAAAGAAAGTTTGCACGAATATAGTAATGATAATGGGATCCGTCTGATAAACTTTGCCATCTCGAAAAACCTGGTAATTAAAAGTACGACGTTCAAACGTAAGGATATTCATAAATATACTTGGACATCGCCGGATTCGCAAACACGAAATCAAATCGATCATGTCTTGATACAACACAGCTGGCAAAGCAGTATAATCAATGTACGGTCTTATCGCGGAGCAGAATGTGGGTCGGATCATGAATTAGTAATCGCGAAACTTCGACAAAAACTTAATATAAAAAAGAGAAAAGAAAACCGTTTCGATTTTGAGAATTTTAATTTGGAAAAATTAAAAAATCCATCAATTAGAAACCAATTCGAGCTAGATGTTAAGAATAGGTTTGAAGCTTTAGAGCTTCCTGACGAGGACCACGAGGATATTGACAAGTTATGGGTAGAGATCAGGGATAATATTAAAGCGGTCGGTAACTCGTGTCTAGGAAAAAAGGAAAATAAGAATAACAAACCGTGGTTTGATGAAGATTGCTTAAACATGTGCGAAAAAAGGAAAGCCGCTAAATTAAAAGCTCTAAATAATCCTAGCGAAGACAATCTGGAATACTTCCGAATCTCAAAGAACGAAACGACAAAATTGCTCAAAAATAAAAAAAGGAAGTATCTCAAAAATAAAATAATTGAAATAGAAACTAATAGAATCGAAAATAACGTAAGAGACATGTACAAAGGTATAAACAGATCACGTAAATATGTAGGGCCCGTAACGTCTGGAATTAGGGATGATAATAACAATATTCTGACCGATCCGGTTGACATATTGAATAAGTTTAAGGACCACTTTGACAATATTTTAAATACGGGAAATTATGATCTGTGTCCTCCTTCTGAGTACCAGAGTGCTGAACCGTTGATAGAAGGACCAAGTAAAGAGGAAGTTGAAGTAGCTATCGGAAAATTAAAATCACATAAAGCAGCGGGAATCGATAATATTCCTACTGAACTAATTAAGGCATGCGGGGAAGCTGGAGTTTCTAAAATACATCGCTTGGTTGAAAATATCTGGGTGAACGAGAAATTACCTGAAGAATGGAAAGAATCTATTCTTATTCCGATTCACAAAAAGGGTCCGAGGACGGATTGTAATAACTATCGAGGAATTTCACTCCTTCCGGTATGGTATAAAATATTCACTGTAATCTTAACCAGGCGAATCACGGAATACGCCAAGGAAATAATCGGAGACTACCAATGCGGATTTAGACGGAATCGTTCGACTATTGATCAAATATTTTCTTTACGGCAAATATTAGAGAAAAAATTGGAGTATAACGGTATTGTTCACCAGCTGTATATAGATTTTAAAAAGGCTTACGATTCTATTGACCGCCAGAAACTGTATAATATTCTAATCGAGCAGGGAATTCCAAAAAAACTAGTAAATCTAGTCAGGATGTGCTTGACGGAGACACTCAATAAAGTTAGAATCGGTAATAATTTGTCCGAAAAATTTGAGGTTCGTTCGGGCTTAAAACAGGGGGATTCTCTTTCGCCTGTCCTGTTCAATTTGGCATTAGAACATGCCATTAGGGAGGTAATGCGTACCGAGAAAGGGTTGGATCTGGGCGGGACAACATCCGTGCTGGGCTATGCTGATGATCTGGTACTGTTAAGCGAAGACGTTGAAACTATAAAACTAAATACGACAACGTTAATGAAAGCCGGTAAAGAACTAGGACTCGAAATAAACGTGGATAAAACAAAATATATGGTTAGCTGCAAAAATGGCGATACTACTGGTGATATCGATATAGATGGTAATATGTTTGAACAGGTAGATAAATTTAGGTATCTAGGTTCTACGATAACTAGAAAAAACGAAATTGAAGAAGAGATTAAAGTTAGACTGAAGGCGGGGAATGCTTGTTATTTTTCTGTGACAAAACTACTCAGTTCGCGCCTCTTGTCCCGAAACTTAAAAATTAGAATCTATAAAACAATTATCTTGCCTACAGTTCTTTATGGATGCGAAACTTGGCCGCTTACATTAAGGGATGAGCAGCGTCTTAAGGTTTTTGAAAATAAAGTATTGCGTAGAATATTCGGACCGAAGAAGGATGAGTTTACCGGAGCGTACAGCCGGTTACACAACGCCGAATTCCGGGAGCTATTTCCGTCTAATATAATTGAGGTAATTTCATCGCGGCGAATCAAATGGGCTTGTAAAGTTGTTGGGCTTAGTAACGAGAGAATTCCTAAAAGGTTAATATTTGCTGTGCCGAATGGTAAGCGTCGGAGGGGTAGACCGAAGCGAAGGTGGGAAGATTGCATTAAAGCTGATCTGAAGGGACTGGGTTTGGACGGCGAACGGTGGAGGGAGGTGTGTAACAAGCGATTGGTGGTGTCGGCATCGAACCTTCGGGTTCGCTAAGCCTTATTATTATTATTATTATAAATCCCAAACCAACTATTTTGGAACCGGCTAAATTGATGAAATCCTCACTTTCCTCCATTTTTCCTATCCTTTATCGTATTTATAACTTCTCTTTGCGAAATTCCACTTTTTCTAACACCTGTAAAACTGCTCCGCTGAATAAAACCTCAATCCCGTAACCCCTAATGATTCCTGCCCAATTTTCCTATCATCTAACCATTCCAAACTACTAGAACGATTAGTTCAATCCCCATCAATTATTCCACTATCTCGAGAAAAATAACCTTCTGAACTACCGCCAATCAGGTTTTAGACTATTCCACCCTTTCCGCCCTCATTAAAATACAGCTATAGACCAACAGAAACTCACCATCCTTATTCTCCTTGATTTTTCCATAGCCTTTGACTTAGTAGATCACAATGTACTCCTAACAAAACTTAAAAATATCTCCTTGTCTTCTAGTGACCTTAAATGGTTCCAATCCTTTCTTATCGGTCGCTTCCAGTACGTTGTAATCCATAATAATCCCCCATCAGAGTCTCTATCCTTATCTAGAGGCGTTCTCCAGGCTCTCTCTCACGCCCCTTTTTCAATCTATATCAATGATCTTCCATCCTCTATCCACTGCCAACCTGTATGCCGATGACGTCCAAATTTACCTCTCCTTCGATCTGGATGATTCCACTGCACCAATATCACAACTTTAAGAAGCTATAAACAGAATCGGGGCTGGGGCAAAGCGCAAAGAAGACGAAAGCTATCCTTATCGAATCCCCCGCATTCATAAAATCCAGTCCTGTACTCCTTCTCATAAACAACTCACCTATTTCGTTTCAAACTTCCCTTAAAAACCTTGGGGTTATTTTGGGTTAAATCCTCTCCTGGAAACCACACATCTCCCAAATTTCCCGTTGTACTATTTCTATCCTGAAACAGCTCAACCGTCAACCGTACCCCCTTCCTTACAAAATTCGCTAACTCCTGGTTTTCCTCTCTTCGACT